TATGGGGGGTTGGGGGCTCCCAGAGGCTGGCTGTTGCTTGTTTGAGAGGATTTAGTAAGTTGTGAAGCATGAGCCAAGACCAGCCATTCATATGGAAAAGTAGCTTGGATGGGCCAGTAAGTTGGGTGGGATAGAGTCTCAGGGGATCTCTAAGGCAGGGCAGTGTTAGCCAGGTTGATGGAGTCTCAGCTGTGGTGGGGAGGGGGTTCAGAAAAGGGACAGTGGCCATTTTGTCTGGGAGGAGGTTGTTCCCCACCTTTCTCCTTGATGCCAGACACTTCAGTTTCTCCCTGGTGCCTTTTAAGCAGCTACCCTCCTGTTGTAACTCAGAGGCAATGAGTCAGATTAAGTCCATGAGTGGGTTCTTTAAGAGGAACTGCTTGGGATTCCGGAAGTTTCTTCTACTGACTCAATCTCCACTGGTTTTTGCAGCCAGAAGTTATGGGGGCTTACCGTCCTGGCACTGGAACCCTGGGCTGGGGACCTTGGTGTAGGGCTGGGACTCCTTGTTCCTGGGATACCCCTCTCAGATTTCTACCTACCACACATGGATGTGGGACCAGCCCTTTCCCCATGTTCATCGCTCCTACCTGTCTGGATGGATGTGGTTTCTTTAATTCTGTAGTTAGACTTCTGTTCAACTGGATATCTGATGGTTGTGATGGTTGTTCTATATTTTAATTGCAATTTTGATGTGGTTTTGTGAGGAGGCAAGCTGTGTTTGCCTATGCTGCCATTATGACTGGAACACCTTATGATTTTTTAACAAATGATTTTTTCCTGGACTCAGAGTCTGATAAATTGATTCCAAGTCTTTTTAGCAAAAATGTTAGTGTGAATTACTTGGGATTTATGTTTTTTATGCTTTTGTTAGCTGTGGAGAGAGATGTTTTTCTGTTTATTTAATTCTGGGCTTATATATATTAATGTAACAGCAAAATCAGATTATTTTTTTCTTTTTCAAAGGTTAACTTTATGTAATCTTGGCTTACATTGTTGGGCATATAGAGGACTTGTTCCAAATTACTTATTCTTGTACCAGAATTGAAACAGTGTTTGAACAAATAGGTAAAATCAAGTCATTTAGAGTAATCATTAAGCAGAAAGCTAGAAGAAATTGAACAGCTCAATAGATGGAATTTTTAGAAAGGAGCTTACAGAGCAATTAGAGAAAAATGTGATATATCTTAGACCCTATTTGTTAACATGGCATAGCATGAAGATACTGTCACAGAGGCCCCTTTTGCTTTGACTTCAGGAATTGTGGTGGTGCAGTGCTATGAGTCAGAGAGTCCTATTTGTATAGTCCAGTCTTCTCTGGAGATTGGCCAGGTAGTGGTGCAGTAGGTTCATCTGAGGCTGGGTACTTGGAGCCCACATCACTAGAATATGTGTGTTTCTAGAACATGCTGGAAACTTTGTAGCAAACCTATAATTTCATTTTTAGGTGCTCAAATGTCTTAGCATTGTTGTAGTATGAATTCATATTTCAGTTTTATTAACTACTGAGGAGATAATATAAACATTAAAATTCATGTAAGGTATAAGGTGTCACAATACACTAGCATCTGTATACTCACCTTGGAGTTAAAGATAAAGGACTGCTGATACCTTTGAAGTTCCCCTGTGGACCCTTCTGCATCCTATTCCATTTCCTTCCTTTTCACAGTTGACACTACCCTGTATTTGGAGTTTATAATTAATTCCCTTGCCTTTCTTTACATTTTAATATATACATTTGTATCCCCAAATAGCATCCTGTTTTACTTAGAATTACACTGCATGTTCTTCAAACCACTGCATGTTTTTTTTTGAGGTGGTGGTCCTGAGATTCATGCTTTATCATTGTGTGTAGCTGTAAACTATGTTGTGAACACAGGATCCCATTATGTGAATGTACAGTACTTTATGTCTGTAGTCTGATACTTGACATTTGGGTTGTTTCCAGGTGCTTACAAGCAATGCTGATGAGAACATTTACTTCTAATATTGACATTTAATAGTACAGCTTAGAAAGAGGAAGTACTGGATTGTGGAGGAAATCAGGTTTATTTGCATATGATAAAATAAGGCATATTTCTTCCCATTCCTACAGGGAAATGTCTTCAAGTAGGACTGAGCACAGTGTAGACAATCTAGTCTTTTATCTGCAGATCTGTGAGTTATTCTCTATATTTGAAACAGTGTAAGCTGGTACATTGTCAGTCCATTCAGATGGAGGTTGATAATGTTTTGTAACCATACTAAAGTCTCTTTTTAAAAAGAGACCAGTAAAAGCCTTGAGACATAGGTGTTACACAGCCTGAAAGCTGTCACTGAGTCCTTAATTTGAAGCATGCCATTGTGCAGTGGTGCACTCCTAGAGGACGGTGAACAGACCAGAATCAAAGTTGTCCTTTGGGACACTGACAGAGTCTGTTACAAATGTAACATCCAGCTGCAGTGAGATGGAATTGAAGACTCACCAGGCACAGGCCCAGTTTTTGTGAGATGGGACTGGCCACAAATGGCATATGTGGCTTCTTGAGCAATTTCACTCAGACCGTGTCTGAGCCCATCAAAGTACTGAGTGGCAGGGCAGGTCAGCAGCAGCAAACCCTGGGCATGCAGGCTGTGCAGGAGCTTTGAAAAAAGTCTTCTGACAACACAGCCTTCCTGAGCCAGTAGTGTGCCCAAGGATTACCTGTGCCTCCTCAGCAGCCCCGATAGACCATGCCAAGGAGGAGCACAGTCTGGGGAGGTGGCAGCTGTGCTTCAGGATTCCCTACCCTGACCATGAGGCCTGGGTGCAGGCATGTGGTCGTGACTGCTGCCGGTGAGCACGGGCTCCAGGCTGGCTGTGTGTCCCAAGGGCAAGACCATAAACAATGACAGACTGTTTAAACCGGTGCAGAGATGACAGGCCAAACTTGCCTGTGTTCTGTGTGGAGGAGATGGTTGTCTTACTGTTGGTCATACCCATGAATTGGGTTCCAGAAAGGCACTGATACACATGCAGATATATATATGAACAATCTGTCCCTCATTAAAACAAAGTTCAGTCAAAACACCAGTGGTTGCAGTGAAATAGTAAGAATAGAGCAATGTAACATTTCTAGTTTTTTATTTTTTACCAGTCTTATCACATCTTTCTTTTATTGGCAGAATGCTTAGAGACTAATGATGCACTGGAACCAATCATATAACAATACCTTTAAATTTGAAAATGTCTTATAATCAGTTTACTGTACACCATTTTCTAGTTCCTTCCCTGTGGATTTCTTTCACACCATTGTGTGTTCATCTTTGTCTCTCCTCTGAGGGCCCAGCACACAGAGACTGAATGCCTCCTAATGGGTGTTCAGTACACCACTGTTTGAATGGACTCCCAGGGTTCAGCTGTCAGTGTGTGGGAACCTCATAGTTAGACATACAAAGGGGGACCACCAAAAAATGGAATTTATATATTAAAAATCATGTACTTATTGTTACATGTTTAAACTTCAGTCACCTTCAGGGCACTCTCCATTTGATGCAATACACCTATCAGATGTTTTTTCCACTGCTAAAAACAGTTTCTGAACTTGTTGGTTTTGATGCCTTTTAGTGCTTCTGCCTTTTTTGTTTCACCTCCTCCACATCAGCAAAATGTTTCCCTTTGAGGACTTTTTCATCCAGGAAAACAAAAAAAAAAGTTGCTCAGGGCAAGATTGGGTGAATAGGGAGGGTGGGGTATGGGGGTCCTGCTGTTTTTGGTCAAAAACTGCTGAATACTCAGTGAAGAATGAGCAGGTGTGCTCGTAAATCATCTGTCATGAAATGGGCAAGTATGTTGAAAGAGTCTTCAAAAACAATTCACTGGAGCCGAATGCAGCCTCTCACAACAACACCAGCTGGTACACTGATACAGATGGGTTACTAGACTACTCATCTAGGGGGGAAAACGTGTACTACAAGGGGCCCATCCTCCAGAAGATAATTCCAGGTTTTTGCGGGGTCCCCCTTGTACAGATTTTATCAGCCTCTCTATGCTTAGCAGGTTCATGTAGTAGTCTAGTTCCAACAAACTGAAGATACTACATTAGACCTGCAATATGCTGTCAGTTTCTTTCCTTTTTGCTTGAAATTTGCAATGCTCCTGGCTTTTTATCCAATTACCTGTTTTGCTGGGGTCATTGTGTTGTGTACATGTGCCACTTTTTCTGATACCAGGAAAAGAAGCTTCACAATGAGTTAGTGAATTAAAAGCATGAAACTGGAAAGGGCATAATAATAGATATGTCCAATTGATGAAAAAGGAATACACTTGTGGGATCTGAAGGGCTGCAGAGAGAAAAGGTATGGAAATAGGCAGAGATGGTTCAAGAAAGAAAGGATTACACACATAGTGACAGAGTACCCCCAACACTCAGAGAGACAATACTGTGCTGAGTACCCTCAAAATTTTGCTATTTGAAGAGGACATTTTTCACATTACAGGAACCAAAATATGCCACTTTGTGTGCATTGTTACATTTATATAGTCATCAAAAAAAATTTTTAGTGAGGTATTTCTGGCATAACATTATATTCAATTCAGTACAACATAATGATTCAGTATTTCTATAGATTGCAAAATGGCCTCAGTAAGTCTCATTAACACCCATTACCATTTGTAGTTATCAAAATTCTTGATTCATATTCGGGGACATGTATAATCTGAAGGATCCTGTGATTTTTGACAGGATCAAAGCATGAATAATATTTTTAAATAAATTACTTTATGAGGTTTGATTGCTGAGTCCTGCCATTTGATAATTACAGCTATATATTATTATTTATATGTATTTAATAACTGTATTAATCAGTATATTTTAAAGAAAAGCACTTTTAAAAACTGACCTAATCAATATGGCCATGAACTGGCCAAAGGGGGAGGAAATGGGGAGTTTCTGTCCTTCTTAACTTAATCATTTTGTTGACTAAGGTAGTATCAAAATACTTTTGCCTTTGATTAACTTTTATTTTATTTTTCTTGTCAGAGTTCCACCTCAGATAAGGCGTCCCAATCGAGAAGTAAAACCTCTGAGGAAAGAAATGCCAGGAGCAGGAGCCCGGGGACCTGTAGGCCGAGCACATCCCATATCGAAGAATGAGAAACCCTCCACAAGTAGGGACAAGGATTGTAAAGCAAGAGGGAGAGATGAAAAGGCAAGACTATCTATCTCTTTCTGACTTACTCACTGGAAGGCCTTTGGTGCATATTGTAACTTCTATTGGCTTTTCAGAGTACTCTGGTTTTGATGTAGAAGAGATTAAAAAAAGGTCTGAATTAAAAAACTATGTTGTCTTTGTATTTCAAAGAGCATTCTGTAATGCCAGTAACTTCAGAACTATGTTTAAAACATCCTACCCCCGCCACACAGAGAAATATTTAGTAAAATGGATCTTCTATAGAAATATTCAAAATAAAATTTAAAATTTATAAAAATATTTAATAATTATTCTGAATCAAAATGAACAATAAGTGAAAACAATTGTGTGGGAAAGACTTATAAGGAAGTAGATATATATATGGAGCAGGGCAAAAGTAGGTGTACAGTTGTTCATATGGAAAATAATACAAGAATTAAAAAATAATAATGCAAGAATAAACTATTTTGCTTACTTATAACTATATACCTACTTTTGCCCCACTCTGTATTCACAGAGTAAGATGATGGGTATGATTTACTATGGATAAAAAAAAAATCTTTGATTCAACTGTAAATTTTTTTTTTAATGAGAAAATTCCCCCTGATTAGGGTTCACTATATACATTTACTTATCTGGATAATTGATCAGATAAAGTAATTTATTTGAAAATTACTTTATCTGGAAAATAAACATAATACTGGGCCAAAATTCTGTATAGCCCTTAAAATAGACTTTAGAAAAATGGCTGAAGAAAATCCTACAGACTAAGGAGTGAGTCAGAATGACCTGACACATCTCTTAGCCTTAATTGTAATGAAAAGGTAAAAATAAATCTTTAGTGATAGCATTTCCCATTTTCATTGTGATGTCCTACATGAATGATGACACCGAACTGCCACAAAGTGCTAACTAGCACAGGGTTCAGGATATGTAATCAGTCACATTTATGCCATGATATTTATAATGGAAATATAACCAATAGCAAGTGGTTATCATTTAAAATTATATGCTATATTTGAACATCTTTACCATATGTATATATTCAATCAGTAGATAAGGACTATGTACAGCCTTATGGATGTTTAGACCATGATAGAATAAAACTGGTGTTTTCTGAGTGTTACTTTTTTTTATACTTTGTTTTATTGATTATGCTATTATACTTGTCCTGATTTTCCCCCTTTGCCCCCTCCACCCAGCAGCCCCCACTCCCTCATACATTTGCCCCACCAATGTTCATGTCTGTGGCTCATGCATATAAGTTCTTTGACTCCTCCATTTCCTATGCTGTACTTTATATCCTCATAGCTATTCTGTAAGACCTATTTGTACTTATTAATCCCCTCACCTCTTCACCCTTTCTCTTCCTCCCATCTGGCAACCCTCTGGCAACTAACTTCTTTTCTCTTGCTTTTAATAGTCTCTCTTTATCTTTAACCTTTGGTATTTTAATTATGATGTGTCTTGGAGTGGGCCTCTCTGTATCCATCTTGTTTGGGACTCTGTGCTTCCTGGACTTGCATGTCTGTTTCCTTCACCAACTTAGGGAAATTTTCTTTCAGTATTTTTTCAGATAGAATTCCAATTTCTTGTTCTTTCTCTTCTTCTGGCACCACTTTGAGGTGAATATTGGACCTCTTAAAGTTGTCCAGGGGCTGTTTATACTATCCTCATTTTTTTGGATTCTTTTTTCCTTCTTTTTGTTCTGCATGGATGTTTTTTGCTTCCTTATGTTCCAAATCATTGATTTGATTCTTGGCTTCATCCACTCTATTGTTGTTTCCTGTGAATTGTTCCTTATTTCAGTTAGTGTATCCTTCATTCTGACTGGGTCTTTTTTATGCTGCTGAGGTCCTCACTGAGTTCCTTGAGCATCCTTATTCCAGTGTTTTGAACTCTGCATCTGATAGATCGCTTATCTCCATTTTTTTTTTTTTTTTTTTTTTTAGTTTTTTTCTGGAGTTTTGATCTGTTCTTTCATTTGGGCCATGTTTCTTTGTCTCCTTATTTTGGTAGAGTTGCTTTGACTCCGTGTCTTGGGGCCTGTGGCCTTAATGTAGTAGGTATCCTGTAGGATCCAGTGGCATAGCCTCCCCTGTCACCCAAGCTGGGTACTCAGGGTGCGCTCTCCACATGTGCTGAGTATACCCTTCTGTTGTAGTGGAGCCTTGGTTGCTGTTGGCAGATCAGTGGGAGGGATGTAGCCAGGCCAGTCACCTGCAAGGACTGGCTGTGACCACTGACCACCAACCTCTGTAGAGGATTAGCTGTACAGGAGCAGGGTGGTGGTGTTCTGATGTAGTCTGTAGCTGTCCACTGGGTGTGTCGACCCTGTGGTTTCCCAGGTGATGTAGGCAAAGGTCAGTCCCCACCTATTTTGTCGGGTGCACCCTGCCTGAGCAGTAGAACAATCTGATATGGCTGCTACTTGTTCTGGGCTTGGGATTCTCCCAGGTGGAGAAGCCAAGCTGTGACTCTAATCTGGCTGCTGCTCACGCTCACTGAAGCCAGCTGTTGCTTGCTTGATAGGATTTAGGACCAGCCTTTTTTATGGAAAAACAGCTTGGGTGGGCACATTAATTGGGTGTGGTGGAGCCTCTGTGGATCTCCAACGTGGTTGTTACAGTGTTAGCCAGGTTGCTGGAGTCTCATGTAATGGCACCAGCATATTGGCTCTGTGGTGGGAGGGTTCAGCAGCAAAGAGGCAATGCCCTCTGCTAACCCTCATGCCAGACACTTCAGTCTCTCCCTATATATACCGCTGCTGCTGGAGCTCAGAGGGAGTGAGTCTGAGTGGGTGAGTCTGTGTGGGTGAGTCTGTGTGTGGGTTTCCCAAAAGGAAATTCGTAGGGCTCTAGCAGTCTCCTCCACCAACTCAGTTGCCTCTGGTTTTTGCAGCCAGAAGTTGTGGGACTTATCTTCTGGCACTGGAATCCTGGGCTGGGGGGCCTAGTGTGGGTCTGGGACTCCTGGCTCCCTAGGTATGCCTCCTGAATTTTTATCCACATGGGTGTGGGGCCAACCTGTTCCTCATCTGCGCCCCTCTACCAGTCTGGATGGATGTAGTTTCTTCAGTTCCATATTTGTGAGACTTCCATTCAGCTTGATTTCTGACGTTCTTGAGTGATGGTTCTATATTTCAGTTGTAATTTTGATGTGGTTGTGCAAAGAGGTGAGCCGTATCTGCCTACATCATTTTGACCAGAAGCCCACAGAGTATTTCAATTCATGAAATACTAGATTCAAGACATATTCTACCTCTCTAACTCACTAGGATACTGAAAGTGAATTAGATTATTTTGTTTGTAATTTGTTGGAGCTATGTGCCATAAAACAGTGAGTGATTCCATTTCAGATTCTTTTCAGGATTGTGAGGAATACTAATACATTAACTTTTCCCACTGATACAATTAAACTGATTCTTCCTCATTATCAAAAGCCACATAAATGGATATTTTAAAATCTGTATATTATGTATCACTTTTGTTCCTTACTCTGTTCTTCATTTAGTGCAGCTAACCTTATTTTTATTTTTTTTAATTATATTATTGGTTATGCTATTGCAGTTGTTCCAGTTTTTCACCCTTTTCTCCACTCAACTCAGTCTTGCCCTGCTCCCTTAAGCAATCCTCATACTGTTGTCCATGTCCATGGGTTATGCATATACGTTCTTTGGCTACTCTATTTCCAGTGACTTTATGCCGCCATAACTATTCTATAATTATCAATTTGTGCTAAATCCCTTCACTTATTTCACCCATCCCCTCAACCTCCCTCCCAACTGGCAACCATCAAAACTTTCTCTGTATCTATGATTCTGTGTCTGTTCTGCTTGTTTGTTCAGCTTGTGTTTTAGATTCAGTTGTTGGTAGATAGGTATTTATTGCCATTTTATTATTTATATTTTTGATCTTCTTAAAGAAGACACTTTAACATTTTATATAATACTGATTTGGTGCTGATGAACTCCTTTAGCTTTTTCTTTCCTGAGAAGCTGTTTATCTGTCCTTTGATTCTAAATGATAGCTTTGCTGAATAGAGTAATCTTGGTTGTAGGTCCTTGCTTTTCATCACTTTGAATGTTTCTTTCTGGCCTGCAAAGTTTCTTTAGAGAAATGAGATGACAGTTTTATGGGAGCTCCCTTGTAGGTAAAAAACTGCTTTTCTCTTGCTGCTCTTAAGATTCTCTCTTTCTATTTAACCTTTGGCATTTTAATTATGATGTGTCTTGGTGTGGCTCCCTTTGGGTTCATCTTATTTGGGACTCTGTGTGCTTCCTGGACTTGTATGTCTGTTTCCTTCACCAAGTTAGGGAAGTCGTCTGTCTGTTTTTTTTCAAATAGGTTTCTAATTTCTTCCTCTCTCTCTTCTCTCCTGGCACCCCATGATGTAAATGTTGGTATACTTGAAAGTTGTCCCAAAGGCTCCTTATATTGTCCCCATTTCTTTGGATTCTTTTTTCTTTTTGCTGTTCTGATTGGTGTCTTTTGCTTCCTTGTATTGCAAATTGCTTATATGATTCTTGGCTTCATCCATTCTACTGTTGAGTCCCTGTAAATTGTTCATTTCAGTTAAGTGTATCTTTAATTTCTGACTGGATCTTTTTTATGCTCTTGAGTTTCTCACTAAGTTCATTGAACATCCTTATAACCAGTGTTTGCTTGTCTCCATTTTGTTTAGTTCTTTTTCTGGAGTTTTGTTCTCTTCTTTCATTTGGGCCATGTTTCTTTATTTCCTCATTTTGGCAGCCTCCCTGTGTTTGTTTCTATGTGCTAGGTAGAGCTACTATGTCTCCCAGGCTTGATAGAATGGCCTGATATACAGTAGTAGCTGTCCTATAAGGTATAGCAGCACAGCCTCTTCTATTACCCAAGTTGGGTACTGAAGTTGTGCCCACTGTGTGGGCTGTATACACATTCCTGTTTTAGTTGGGCCTTAATTGCTCTTGGTATGTTCAAGGTCAGCCACCACCTTTGTTCTCCCTGGGGTCACACGGCATAAGCTACAAAGCAGTC